GGGCAGGGATGGCGCAGCTCCAGGAGCTAATCCTGTGGGCATAGGGCAAGCCACTGGAACGGGGCACTTGCTCCCCAGTCCTGTCCTTACCGAACTTACCTACAAAAAGAGAAACACAACAAGTGTTGCTACAGGGCACCGCTCTCCCCATGTCAGCCCAACGCCGGGCCCTGGGGCAGCTGCGGGCACAAGCTCAGGGGTGCCACTGTGTCCTTGGGCCTTTCCTTTGGGCTCATTTGTTTTTTCCTTTTATACTTTTGTTGGAGGGTTGGGTTTTGTTTTTGCTTTTTAAAGACAGAATATTTGGAATTTAATAGAAAAGGCTGATATGAGGCAGAGAAGAAAGTTACCTCAATATAACCTCATTGTTTAAAAAGACAAGCAGCATCATTAAACAAGTGAAAATTAACACCCTCGCATGTCCAAAGGAACTCAGTGTTAACTTGTGCATGAAAGTAAATAAACTTCACTAAATGCAGAATTAACCCAAATTCCCTGCTCTACCAGCCAGCGTCAAAAGAACTTTAAAAATTCCAGCCCTTATTTCTGTACAAAATTGTTTCAGCCAGCCGCAGGGAGCTGAGGGTGGCACATCCCTCAGGGCGCCTCGCTGCCTGGCGCTGCTGCTGCCGTGCCAGGTGAGGCACAGCCAGTGGGGACACAGCAGGGCTGCTCCGCCTCATGGGCTGCCAGGACCAATTCCAGACGGTTTTCTAAAATTCTGTTAACATACACTTCAATTAAGCAGCTTTGGCACGCGAGGGGCTGAGAAAGAGCTCTCCTCCCTCAATATGGGATGGCAGAGCTTCCCAAATTACACACTCCATCCTGCATGACACCATGGGAACTGCTGCTACCCCAAATGACTGCAGCATTTCATTACATTTTTCATGTGACAGAATTTACAGCTCCCTGCCAGGGCTCCCACCAGGCCATCTATTTATGGCATAAGGAGAAAAGGGTGTTATTTAATTCTGGGAGCCTCCCATCAATGCGATATTTCACATTCAATTGATAAAACTGGTGTGAAGGTGAAATTTCAGCAGAAAAAATGAATATATGTTTAAGGTTGTGTGGGATGCTTACTCCATGCTTGTGATTTTAATTTCTCAATTAATAATAAAAATTGCAATGTCCACCAGGACGTCCTACTTTGGGGCATTAACCTCTGTTCTAAGGGCAGTTTTAGAAAAATACAGGACTACTTGATGCTCTCCTTCACTTCCCTGTCTCTCATTCTCACCTGAAGCCCGAATCTGATAGTGAACGTTGAACTGAAGGAGATGCTTCGGGATCATGAATTTAACACCAATAATGTTAAAAACCTCACCAAAATTAACAGAAACCAAAGAACAAGAAACAGAGGAATCAAGGATATATTTTTAAGAGCTGCAGACTTCTGTATGCTGTTATTAGATTATTGTTTTAGCATCCTCAAAATGGTGGTTTCTACTGAACTAAGCACCTGTGAGGAATGCCTACAGACATTTGTGAAAATGCTGCATTTTGGACAATGCTCTCAGGCATGTGTGGGGCTGTTGGGGTGCCCTGTGCAGGGCCAGGAGTTGGACTGTACTAGCAAGAGATTACTGAGATAACTCAGTGGCACTAAAAATGTGAGGTTACATTTTTGCCCTTTTTAAAATTAATTTGAAAAACCTTATTTTCAGCTCTTTTAAAGTCCTGAGAAATCTGACTCATTCCAGTTCTGAACTTTTTCCTTCTCAGCTGAATTCCTCAGTAAAGCAGTGGCTGCATTTAATGCTACGGATGTGTGACCAGAAAAAAACTGTCATGCCCCAAACCCAACATTACCCATACACATTAAACCTGATAATGTCACGACAAACACACGTTAATGGTTTAACTTTGCTTCTTCTACCTTCCTCCTATGCTTCACGTGAGCTAAATACACACTTTAAGAGCCATGGCACCTGGTTCTTGCATCTTTCCCTCGGTAGGAGCCTCTTGGGTATGGCCTTTTTTAACCATCACCTTTTTAACCAGTTCTGATGACTCAACACTGATGGAGGCCCACACATCCCATCAGTTCCTGCATGGAGATGCTGACTGAAGCATCAGAATTAACATATGCCAGAAAAGCAGCCCCAAAGCTGTGGGTTTCCCAGCTCCAGGAAAGCCGTAAGACTGCGAGTCCCTTTGCAGGTGCTGTTCAAAGGGCAGCAGATGGACATTCAGGCAGTGAAGAAAGAGGTTTGTGCATCGCTCTGCTGGGTCACAGCACAGCCCTGAACAGGCCTGGCTCAGCAGCTCAAACAGCCAGGCTGATGTGGGGTGACAGCCAGGGATGTCCCTGTGCAGCACAGTGCTGTGTCCATGGCCAGGGCTCACCTGAGGAGGAGCCCCAGCTGCCAGGGGTGCCCAGCCCAGCTGAGAGCCCCTGTGGGCTCCTGTCCCTCCTGCCTGGCCAGCTCTGGCCCTCACAGTGCTCAGGAGCCCAGAGCTGCAGGCAATGCTGAGCGTGGGCTCTCAGGAGAGCAAGATGTGCCATGTGGGCAGGAAGGGAAGCTCTTCCCCTCCACATCTCCACTAGGCTCCTCTGCTGAAGGTATGACCTCCCTGAGCCCAGAGAGACAGTGGCACCTTCACACCTCTGCTTGTGCCACCTCCTCACCTGCACCCAACTCTCCCTGCCCTGACAAAGCTCTGCTCTGAGCACCTGCACATGTCCCTGCAGGCACCAGCCACCAGCTCCTGCTTCCCCCACACCTGCCTTCTCCTGGCAGTTCTTCCTTTGTGGCTGTTTATTCCCCTTCCCCCAAATAATCCCACAAACTCATTTAGTAAACAAGAATAATACATACACAGAGAACAACATACCAGAAAACAATGGTAAAAATGGAAAAACTTCACAAGACAAACACTAGGGTAGTTCAAATACCCCAAATCTGTTGTTGGGACTTGTTATAATTTTTCCTGTGCTCTACCAGGCAAATCTCAAAGTGCTACTACCCCCAGTGATACTCACAGCTCCAGTACTGTCAAACTACTACAGAGCCAAGCACTGGGTGTGACATACCAACACCATAAATACTTCTGGGTTTATATCAGAATAGAGGAAACCAGGTAATTCTGTTGTGAAAGCTGACCATAACTATCACAACCCATTTGAAAAGGCAGGATTTAGACAATTTTCCTTTTGCTGGCTACCCCATTAACATCAGTGTTTTCCTTCTGTATGGACCAACTATTGCTGAAACAAAACTGAGTCACAGGGCAGGCTCAGAGCTGGCTGCCAACATGAGCTGGTCAGGATGATAAAAGAGATGGATATCTCTTTTATCACTTCTTCCCAGTCTGTTGAAACCCCAAAGCTTTTAGGCACTCCTGAAGAGATGTGTGTATGCTTTTCCAATTCCCTGGAAAACTATTCAGACCAAGGCAGTGTTGAATAGTTTCAAACACAGATTCATTTTTTATTATTTTCCCAATCCAGCAGAGAGGAAAGGCACAGGGAAGGGGCTATGGCTTGGTTTTGGCACTGTGGCCATGTCCAGCCCGGCTGCTCCCGGCAGCACAGCCAAGCCCACGAGTCAGGAAATGCCAGCAGAGGTTCAGGTGCTGCTGAAGGTGTCCAAGCCCCCACCTCCCATCACCCAGTGACACAGACCTGTGTGTTTTCAGAAACAACCGCACTGTGCACTGGGAACATGTTTCAGCCTTTTTGGAGGTGATGTTTTTCCTGTAAAACCCGTGGAGCTACACACAGTATGGAGAACAGACAACATTTTTGCAAGCCCTTCTTTCTCAGGCTTCTCCAGATAGTGTCTTTAAGTACACAATATTCAGTATTCTTTGCACAGAAGGCAGCTCATATTCCTAAACTTATTTCTTGACTAATGCTAACCAAAATACCTGTAAAAATGATTCATCATATCTTCCCAAAGATCACATAGAGAAATCACTCAGGCAATTTGACTTGGTTCTAATATTTCCTGCTGCATTTCATACTGCTGCTGCTGAGAATCTACCTGCATTTACATGCTTCATAAAACCATTTGAAAAGGTACATTTCAATGCTCCTGTGACACAAATGGATAAAGGCTCCTCCTCCTATGAAAGGTCTCACCCAGATTTCTAATATGATCAACCAGGATTTGCAAGCAAATGGACTGGTAACTTCCATAGAAACAAAGCAGAATGTGAAGTTTTCCTTTACATGCCAATTACATTATTGCTGTCTACACTTCTGATGGCAGAGGATGAAAAGAAAACCACTCACTCTTATTTAACACACTACCAGTTTCTCTTCCATTTCCAGCCTTAAAGAGTAGCTTTCACTTAGTTAAAAAAGAATATATTTTATTCACAGTAAACAATTTGCTGCTAGTGGTAGAAGGAGTCTTGAGTAAAAAAGAGATAACTCAGGGAAGTGAGTTCTCTGTTCCAGGGGGAAAGAGAAGATTTTGAGTCAGCCACAAAACTGCTCTGTGTATTTATAACAGTAGGTGAACAGCAAGAGAAAATTTTAAAGTAAAAAATGTATTTTTCTATTTAAATGTATAGATAACATTTTGGGGTTTTTTGTTTGTTTGTTTAATGTATTTTTCATTGTGGGACAACTCCGTTCACTCCTACTCCTGTATGGAACCCTTTAGGGAGGCATTTCTCTTTAAAATAATCCCCAGAGACAAGGCAGAAGTGAAGGTACAAATCCTGCCACCCCGAGCCCCTCATTTGTGACTATCACAAGGGACCACTTTTCCCAAAACAACAACAGCTTTTCCCAAAACTAAGCCCATGTGAGACAGCCCACCCTAAGAACTCTGTACTAGTTTGTTCCAGTTAAAAAAAAAAAACCCACAAAAAGCATAAGAATCACCTTGTTTCCTACTTATCCATCCTTTATTTCCAACATAAAACCTTATAACCTTCTCTGATGGGCTGGAAATCTGCTTAGTGCTCCTTATTCTTTTCTTGCAAAGGCATTTTTGATCAAAAGAGGCGACAAAAGACGGCATTACCAGATGAACTGAAGAAGTACATCCTGAGCTTCAGATTCTCTCTCTCTTGGAAAGCTATTTTTTCCATCCTTTATGTGATTTCCCAAGTTCTTTTTGTCTTTCCAGTTGACTCAGCTGTGATTCACCACATGGCCATCTCGCCATGGAGCTCATCCCTCCGATACACAGGTCACTTGTCCAGCTGTCCACACTAGGAGTTCTCTCATGCTGCTCCCTTCCTCCTCCTTTGGCTATTTCTCTCCAACACCATGCAGCCTTCTTCTCCCTCAACTTCAATTTCCCAGTTAGGGCCAATTTCAGAGGGTACAAACAGCAAAACAATGCTGAACTCCCAAACCAACCCCTGTCAAACTCTTGTATATCATACCTGCCACCTGCAGCATCCTGTGCCATCTTTGTGGCCAAAACACTCAACAAAAAGTACAGCAGCAGTGTTTGCCATCTGCCCTTGCATCTCTGCTGCAGCCAGCACGGTCCTCACAAGGACTTCATGCCCCAAACCACCCCAGGTCTCACCCACCCCAGGGCTCCAGCTGATGCCACTCCTCCACACAACAAGGAACAATGCCAAATGAAGAGCAGGGAATCCCAACCTCTCCATGCTCCTGGTAAATCACCTCCAAAAAACTTCAGTCAGCTCTGCTGACTTCCTGGAACAACTGCCATGGTTGAGAAAGACACAAACCCTCCAAGACCCAGTCTACTGAGATAGGGACATTCCTGTTGCTCTCACAGTGACACACTGCCTTCTCCACAGGCTTCGAGACAGAGACACCAAAACTGCAGGAGGTAAAATTAACCCTAAATTGATAGTGACAGATGATTTAAATATGTAAAATAACCACTCATTTCTCCAGAGATACAGGTGGGCAAAACATCCACATCTAATACTTCAAACTTCTGCAGTGGTCTCAGGGGAAGGACACCAAAATGCTGCAAAAAGTGCATCAAAAGAAAGTAAGAAGTGACTTAAAAAATCTACGCCCTTCCCACCTCGTTATGGAAATCTTTAGTTTGGGTTTACTAGCACCAACTTTGACTTATTTTATGAAAACTGTTAGGGTGTTAAGTAGACATTGCTTACTCCTGAGCTGGTTAAAGCATTACTGAGCAAAAGGATTATTTACTGACTCAGGAAGCAGCAGTTACCAAAGCAGATGCATGGCTGAGGTTCCTGCTTTGGTACATTTTACCTCACCAACAGCTACAGAGCTACTACTGCTACAGGACTTTTTCCCTCTACATCCCAAAAAGGCAGTGGTTTGCTATCCAGATCTTGTTCTCTTGCTTTTAGGGGATTACAAAACAGCTCCTCACTGTTATTTTCCTCTATTTTAGCTCAATTTGCAGTCTTCCAAGAAAATAAACCCAGCAAAAATCACTAGTCATATTACTAGTCAAATTACTCTCCAACTAGTGAGGAGATTTGGAAACCCAGACCAGGGTGGGCCAGAATGGTGAACTAGGATTCTGGACGTGTGCTCATTTCTTGCTGTGCTGCCTCTGTGTCAGCCCTCAGCAGCACTGAATGCAGACATGATGCACCTGCAATGGCTTTGTCCTGCTGCTGAGAACAGAAAGGGACCAATGGGGGCTTTCCAGTTCCTTATTTGTTGTAGGGTACTTTGACAGCATTTCTGAGGATGGCATTGTCCAACAAGTAAGGGTCAGCACCCTCCCAGCTGTCCCCTCCCAGCACAGAACTCACTCCAACTCCACTCAAACAATGGCTCCCACCCACAGAGCCACCAGTCCCTGTTCTGAGGAAAGTTAATATTAAAGACCAAAAAGAAAACTTTACTAATAGTTGAAACTGAGGTTGAGCAACAGATGATAATGATCGGAGTATTGCTCTGCATCGCTGTTAATAAGCAGTTTGGAATTTAAAATATATATTTATATATATATTGCTGCCCATATATCCCTTAAGATTATTCCAAAGGACAATTAAAAAAAATTGATTTAGTACTGAATGAAAAGAGCTGGACATTTATAGAAAGCATTTATCTGGAGTAATTTTAGTCTATGTCCTCCTCCACATCTGAGTTCTGCAAAGGCTGTCAGACACATAGCAAAAGGTATGTCCTTCAAGGAGGGCCACTTACTCCACATGTCTCATTCTGCATTTGCATGGGGTTAGCCTTTGGCTCCATGTCTTGCCTTTTTTGGTTCTGCTTCAGTTGGTTTAAAGAAGGTTTTGTCTGTGCAGCTCCAACAGTTTTGCTCGTCCACTGGTCCACCAGCTTGTGCAGGTCATCTGTGAACGTCCCTTTCTTGTTGTTACTGTTGTTGGCCTGAACCTGCAGCGTCGACTGCGGGAGGGGCTCAGGACACGTCACCAGGCTGTTGGTCGAGGATCCTGGAAAATCACACAGAGAGCTGAGATGGTGTCTCTGCCTTCCTTACCCCTGCAGCTCAAACCCCTTCTCACCTACTGCCACTCCAGTGGTGGCTTTTTGGATTTCTAACCCTCCCCCTCCTGGCGGCAGAACACCTTTGCTTAAAGAAATGGTCCAAGTCCAATGGGTTTGCATTTTCTATCACATCATGTTACCTTGGCTGCTAATTTGTCTTGGGTGAAATTAGGGACAGGGACTGAAGCCAGGAATGCAGCCCCATAAAGCTGACATCCCATACAACATCTCCTCAGACACTACCATGAGGAAGAGGGAGGTGGGATGTATTGCTAACATTGCAAGCATTTATAAAATTAATTTACCATTTATTTCACTTGCCTAAGTTTACTGTCCTCCTGGAAAAATGTTATTGTCACAGAGGTAACAGGCAGGGCTGGTTCCTGCTCCTCTGGGAGCCCACCACCTCTCTCGATGATGCAAGGACCATTCACATGGCTATTTGTGTATTTTAGGGGGAAAAAACCCCATCAGGACCATGAAAGTATAGAAGAGAGAGGAGAGAGGCTGTAGTGGGCAGGGTGACTGTTTGAGACAAAGATAGAGAACTTTTGGTATAGACAAAAGCAGTCAGGAAGAGTACTGATAGAGATTTAATTCTGTATGTTCACTTCTTCCTAGAAGAACCAGAAAAAAAAAAATTCTGCCCTTTTTCTGCTTAGTGACTACAAGTCTGACACAGCAAGCTCAGCAGGGGACTGCAACGGAAGGAGTCTGAGTTTGACCTAAACAGAAAATGTAAAGTAACTTCTCAGCTGACATACTTGAGACAGCTAAAGTTTGGAAATAAAGACCATCTCTCCAAGCAAAAAGTTCATAGAACTGTGGTAAAATGACTGTATAAGCAAACATGAACATGGCATATTTTCTCTGTTAATCAGTTACCAGCCAATGAAACCAAGTACACTAATTAGTCCTACAGTTATATAAAGTACATTAATAACCTTTAAATGATCATGCATTCAGCCTGCAATGTCACTTCTAAGTGAATACTGCTCAATTCCTTTTCCTTCACTTGGGGTAAAAGTGAGAAAAGTAAGGATTTTTAGAAGAAAGCTCTTCAATTGGTGTTTAATATTTCATGCAGCTCAAGGGGGGGGCTGGAGAGGTTTTAAGCTATCAATTCCTCCAGCAGAGAGCTGCACTCATACAGAGGTGTGTATTTCAGAGACAGACACTGGACCCAGTTCCCTGGCCGCATGCGTGCACAGTCTCACACACAGAACACCACGACTCTCTTGCAGCATGCAAGGTTCCCAACAAATCACAGCACATGCATTACTCTCAAAGTATCACCATTTATAGTCTAGCTTCTGCTAAGTGCATCAGCTCTAGTTATTAAACAATTAGCTTTTAGTAAAAAATAATAATAAAAAAGCAAAGAACATCCCATGCCATGAAGGAAATACTGAGAAACAAAAACGGGATAGTTACTACTACTGTGATCTTTGCCTAGACATAGTCGTTTCAAGGTGGACCCTACAAGGTAAAACAATACAAGACACACAGAATTAGGTAAGACTAAACACAACAAATCAGACGGACAAGCTTCTGTACTTTTAAGCAATCAGAAAGTAGTTATTATGCAAGAAAGGACAGACAAAGTCAGCAGTTCAGGTGAGTAAAGGAAGCCTAAATAACTGGACAGCTCAAACCTTTCTTAATGTGCAGCCATTCAAAAGCTTTGGGAAGTACCACAACATGCCAAAAGCAAGGGCTCATGACTTAAAGATGCATTTGTTTGGTTTTTTTTGGTTGGTTGGTTTTAATTTTTTTTAAAATTGATTTTATTTTCCTTTTTTTTTTTTTTTCCCAAATTGCCTTGGCTTCCTAATAGAAGGTTTTGATTTGTTTCCTATTAATGCAGGAAATAATGTCAATTTAATTTGTGATTGGAGGCCAAAAATTCTTTCAGGAACAAGTCAAGCTAGTCTGGCTGCAAAGACAAACCATAAAACAACCCTAAAAATATTGTTTTACAAGTCCAAAAAGATACATTGTTCTGCAGGTCTGAGGCCAATCGTTTCCAAATAGTTTATTTGTAGGATTTGTGTCTAAATGTGAGACTCTGAACTTCAATTGAATGGAACTGTGAATGAGTTTCCCTTATGCCTTGTCCAAGTGCAGAAAAATAATCCGTCAGGGTAGCCAAGTTTTAATTTAACTAAACTACTTGTTTTTTTCATTATTGTCTTGTTCCATCATTCATCATGATTTTACAGCCTGTAGATAGATAGCAGAGTGCCAGAAGTGTGCCGAGACCCCGACTCGACTGTCAGATCTTGCCAGACATTGGCACCGTTGCTATTTGGGTGCCAAAATTTCCTGAAAGGTATTTTGGACTTGATAAGAAGAATATTGTTATGGGATGGGGGGAGATGAGTGTCTGACATGGGCTATGGTGGGTTCATTGGGAAGAAACACTTGAAACCATGAGCAAAATCAGACTGGGGCAAAAAAAGTAAGATAGAGGGTGATGTGCTTTTTCTCTAGAGTAAACAGTGGTGTAACATTTTGTTACTGTGCCAGAAATGCAGCTTTAAACTCAGAGATTGCAGGTCCAGGCTGACACAGGCCCTGAATGAGTCTTCAGAGGAGAAGGAAGCGATTTCAGTCAGAGACTGAGGAAGAGAAAGTAAAGAAACAAGGGAGGGAGGAAGTAAGGGAGAAAAGATGTTTGTGCTTAGATATGGGTGGCATGAGGAACAGAGGACTGCTCTGAAAGAATTGCTTATTACTTCATACAGTTCAATCTCAGGATTTTCTATCCTGAGAAAATCAGGACGTGACTACTACAACACAAGCATGACCAAGTTCAGTTCTCATTTCAAAGCCCAGATAACAAGCACAGTCACATTCACAACTCAACCATCCGTCTTGTATTCTTTTATCTTTTGCTCTCTTTTCCCTCAGACATACCTTACCTTGCCTATCCCAAAGTAAGCTACCAATTCCCACAATAGAAACAAGTGCCCACAGCAGCAATCCTAGAGGCTATTTCCTGCAGCAACAGGCACTTCTTAGCACAACAGGAATGCAAATGAAAAGCACCTGCCCGCGAGAAATAAAAGCAGGCAGCTGACTGCAGGACGTGCTCGAAATCACCTTCATTGCCAACCCCTCTGCTTCCTGCACAGCCAGGCACAGGTTTCCAAGCACCTCAGGTGCCAAACCTGACCTGGGGAAGTGACAGAAGTGGCAATACTCAACACACTCACGAAACACCTGCATGAGGGGCTCCAGCTCTGAGGAAAATATCACAGGAGACTCAGGCACTGAGAAGAGAGCTGCTCCTTCCAGCAGCATCACTCCAGTGTGGGGCTTGGGAGATGGGAAACATTCCCTAAGCGGCAAGACTGCCTCAAGCAGGGACTGACAGTTATCAGCCATGGTTGGTTATGAACTCAAATTCAATTAAAAATTCACTTTGTAGATCTAATTCACCCAATTAATTGTATTACTGCTAAAATTAACATGTTTAAGAACAGTAAAGTTAAAGAGATGAATCATAATTAAGATTTAATGTAAGATTGTGAAAGTTCAGCAGAGCATTTTACTTCCAATTCCAGATCTCTTATCTGAGGAATTAAATAGCTATTATACAGAACAGAAAAAATCCACTGTCCCATATTTGCACTAACAGCTGCCAAAAAGCTGGAAAGCTACAAAAAAATGGAATGGCAATAAACTGCTAGACCATTTCCATAATTGCATATGCACATACAGTATATGAATTGCTACAAACCTGGCAAAAAATTGCATTACACAAGATTCCAAGCCTAAGCCAAATGGAGCTTTGAAAATTCCACTCACAATCAGTGAAAAGTCTTCCCTAAGGCACCCTTGCAGTTTAGCCCAGGCAAAATTATGCAAAATAATTTTTTTCACGATAACATTATGCCAAAGCCCATCAAAAATATTTCATGAAAAATACAAAGGCAAAGTCAATATTGGACATGGATCAAAATGTCCTGCAGAACACTGTGAAAGTGTTCGAGTCTGATGGATCTTGTAACCAGAGCAAGATCCTTGTGATACTGTCCTGAATCCATCTGAACATTTATTTTTAAAGTTGCCAACTTTTCTGCCAGTGCAGCAGGTCTCCTGTTGCCATACCCCACCTTGCCAAAGGGCTGGTTTTCCTTAACCAAACACACGGATTCAGAGCATTTCTGAAATGCAGCACAGTGTTTCCCAACAGCTCTCAAAACAAAAAAAATACCAGGGAAACCTTGACCAATGGAATAGACCCAGGACTCCCTTCTGTCTGGAGGTGCCCAGAGCTGCTGGTACTGGGCAGTCATGTCCCAGCCCTGTACAACTGCACAGAGGATGGAATCCTACCTGCAATGGTTTGGGTTGGAAGGGACTTTAAAGCCCATCCAGCTCCATCCCCTGCCATGGCCATGGGCATGGACACCTTCCACTATCCCAAGTGCTCCAAGCCCCATCCAGCCTGTCCTGGGACACTTCCAGGGATGGGCTATGGATGCTAACATGTTTAGCACTTAATGCAAATGCTTGCCTTTGCCTGCCTGCTGGGTGCACTGATGTCTCTTGCAGAGGGAAAAAAGATGAGGCAGCTGGTATTGCCAACATCATCACCTTCAAACAACAGAATCAAAGGATGGTTTACGTTGGAAGATCTTGAAAGCACATCCTTTTCCAAACCCCTGCCACGGGCAGGGACACCTTCCACTAGACCAGGCTGCTCCAAGCTCCATCCAACCTGGCCTTCCTGGAGCACTGTTTTTCCTGAGGCTCCAGACACAGCTGCTGTGGATCCCAGCTCCACAGAACATCCTTCTGCCCGTCCTGCCCACCGCTGTCCCAGCCCCAGGCACCCTGGGGAAGGACAGGAATGCACACAGCCCCAGTCCTGCACTCACACACACATCCCACCTGCTGGGCTCACAGGCAAACAAGCTGGAATAGCCTCCTGCCCCACCAAACCTGCCCACAGCTCAGCCATGGGCACCTGCCAAGCTCCCCAGGTGAGAGGCACCTCAGGTGAGCCAAGCTGTGCTCCAGGACTGGGACCCTCAGGGGTGACCTAGGGTTGCAGTGTCACGTTAAGTCCCTGAACTGCACCCATCTCCTGGTGTGACTCAGGGATGGGGGAGGCCAAACCCTGAGAGAGCACACGGGCTGAGAACAGAAAGCAATTAGTCATGCTGAGTTATTTAAGCATGAGGAAACTTCACGATTCAAAGGATTTACATATTCCCTTGGTTTCACTCACAACATCCATGCACCCAAACATTTTTAGTAACAGATTTTTATTGCCAGACCTTTTGCATCCTACTGAATAGTAATTCCATGGAAGATTAATGAAGCATCTTCTGGGAATTACACGTGCAGAAGAAGAAATTACTGTGGCCACTATAACACCAAACAGGAATATTTGGGAGCTGAGAATTCTCCTCAGGTTCTCAAGAAAAAAATCCCTAAATGCAAAATTTTCTCACAACATCATGAGTCATGAAAAGCTTACATGATAATAAATTCTGTAAACGTCAGTCACCTGAGTGTTTGTGCTTTCAGGGAGCTCAAACAAAAAAGTTTCGAGATTATTTCTTAAAATACTGTTTATTCATAAAATTAGGAGGAGTGTATTGGAGTGGTCTTGTGTCTTTGATGTGACCCATTTGGATAGTAATGAGCAGTGCAGAACTCCAAGGGGAGATCTGATACTCCTGTAAACCCATAGTTATTTAACCAAACACTTTCTCAAAAACGTTATCAGCCCTTCTAAGGTTATATGTAAGTGGCCTATAGTACCTGTTCAGCACAACATATCTTTATTGTACAAGCAAAATCCGTTTGCCTAAAAAGCAGCATCTACAATTGGGTAAAAAAGTCTGATTTTTTTCATTAAATAGCTTGATACTGTTTGGTGGAATTGCCAATTACTTTATAAGTCGGACAAATAGGGTACAAATAGAAGGTGCACAGTTATTTGAGACAAAACTCCTAACAATCCATTTCCAAGTATCATCTGAATATCTGATATTGCTTTTTACTTATTTATGCTTTGATGAACTGCTAATTGACTTCATCTCTGAGGTCACATAAGGTCATAAGAAAATAAACTGAGTCAAGTGCTTCAGCCAGATCAGCTTACACAAAAAGTTGATGGGACTCTCCCTTAGAGTAACCAGATCTTCCTGCGCCTTATGATTCCATTAAAAAATCGCTCACTTAAAGTAATTAAAGTGACTGCATGGGGAAAAGCCCACCTGGGACAGAGATTTGGAAAGAACTAGCTGGAGCACTGTTGTCTCAGCATTTCCACATGCAAAGAGCGGGGAAAAAATTAAAGAAAATAGAGTGGATATAAACAGTACTGTATATCGAGTTAATACAGCCCTTGTATGGAAGTTATACCCTCCAGTGACCTTCTAGAATTGTATCAGCTTGCTACATGCATGTCTTCAGAGTCCAAACATGTGTGAAAGAGACCATTCGTCTACAGAAGGATGGATTTCGTTTTGTTGTCGCTGGAACCGGGACAGCAGACATGTATATTTGCCACATTGCAAATAAAATTACTTCAACAGAAATCACATAAAGTACAAAAGTTTTGATAACTCCAGGGTAAAATTTACCATCAGGCTATATATAATAAATGATGAGATCTTCCACACATGCTTTTGGTGCCCAGGCATGAGCCAAAAGCAGTGCAAAAAAAGCTTTCACATGAAAAATTAATATAAATAAGGTGTGTTCATGATGATTACTTAAAAGAAAGAGAAAAAGAAAGAAAAGATGGTTGAGAAAAAGGGGCATCCTGCCAAACATATTAGAGATTTAAATCATGGAATTGGAAAAAGGGGGTAAAAGAAAGATGGACTGTGATAAAATACAAAAGAACAAATACAAACAGATGGACAAAGACACAGGTCCACTGAGGAATCTGGTACGAGGTTTGCTACTAGATTTATAGGTCACTCTCTCAGACGTTTGGTGGAAAACCGTCCAGCCTGTAAATGAATATAAAGGGAAGAAAACAAAGACACTTATAAAGTACAAGTAGCTGTGATCAGATGTCCTAAACCATCAGTCAAATCAGCTTTGTTAGTTAAACCTCCACATCTCCCCCTTAACTTTGCCAAAGAGGAGCAAGTTCACTGACCATACACAAAGGATGCAATAACAGCAGAAGAGGACAGATAGATATTTTGTAGATTAGTTTGGCAGGATGTGCAATGAGAGGAAGGTATTTTAATCATCATTGGAACTTCCCATATGCATGGCAACAAGATCAGTCAAAGCCTATGACGGGGGCAATACACAGAGGTCTCAGAACTGGGGTCATGGGAGCACAGTCCTGTGGCTGGGACTCCAAAATTATGCACAAAGTGAACCCCTCATAGAAAGGAAATATAACTTGGTCCTCTGGGTTTGGTTTTCTTTTAATTTCTATTTTTTCATTCATTATTTTCTATTATTCATTTTTATTTTCTCTCATGCCCAAGACAGTTTGGTAGTTTATAATGAGGAACTTGGGGTCTACTGTAATCAAGGTGCTAAAAAAATGAAACAAAGCAAACGCTCTCCTAGCCTTTTGTATCTTTGTTTTCCATTCATTTTTTCTCAGGAATCTGTAATGCAGACTCCAGAGAAGGTATTAAGGATAGAGCCACTGCTGGCAAAGCTGAAAGGTATTTCTTTCCTAAGAATTAGGGATGTCTTGGTGCATGCCTTCTCAAGTGCTGGTAACACTCCACAAGATACTTAAATTTTGCTCTTCTGACAATACTGCAATGCTCTTTTTAAAGGTAAGCCAGTAATTTGGATTCCTCTATCACTCCTAAAAAGTTCCAGCCTAAGGGAAGGGAACTAATTTCAGCACGTGCTGGAAGAGACACAAACGAGGCAGCAGGAAGAATCACCTTGGCCAGCGCCTGCGTTGGCGTCGGCGGCGTCGGGGCCCAGGCCGGAGCAGATGTCAGAGGACAGAGAGGCTTTGACAGAGCAGGGCTGCTGGGTCTGCACAGCCTTGCCCAGGGCGGGCGCTGCGCCGGCCGGCACCGCGGCGGCTGCGGGGAAACCGGGCTGCGCGGTACTGCTTTCTCTGTGGGGCGAGTCTTTAGAGTCTGAGAGGTTACCTGAAAGAGCAAACAAACACAACACATGCCGTGGCAAAAGCTAGGAAAACTCTGAATAAAAAATCCCTGCCTGAAAGTAATCCATATCTTGACCCCAAGAGGAACAGCCGTTTGCTATTCTGATGTACTGGATGGAGCACAAGTTTTGGGGAGAGCCTGCACCAGAAAATAACCCACATCTCCTATGCCTGAGCCTGTTTCTCCAAGAAGCTCCTGGAGCAGGTTTGATTTTCACAGTTTCTCCTCTGTGTTTTCAGGAGCCTCAGAAGGAGCACTGCTGGAATGAAGAGAGAGCTGCTGGGGTGCTGAGGAGGAGGATGAACACACAGAATGACAAAGCAGGACACAGAGATCTGCTCTCCCACACCAAAGGTGAAATTAAGTGAATGGAGAAGAATAAAAGTTGCAGCAAAGATACAAGGAACTTTTTATTTATAGCTATTTGAGTATAATTGTCATTGCCACGTTCAGATTCTTCTACAGATAAATTCATCTAACACATGATTGCAAAAGTATTTTGGTTGTTAAGCCGCTTTACCTGAGATATTTGTGTAGACAAAAGCACAGATAGAGACATTTATCTAGATATCTACAGATAAGTATCAGTATGTAACTATCTAGATAGATGTAGAAGTACAGACAGTATCCAGCACTGCTTCAGTCCCTGTGGGCAAGAACACTCAGCCTCAAGACGGGCCACAGAACTTATTGCCTCTGAATATATTTGTGTTTCCCAACTCAGCTGAAATCCTTAGCTAAAAGCAAAATCCTCCTGGACACCTTGTCTATAAAGATTGATGCAACAAAATTCAAAGGGGCCCTATGATGCAGTGATATTGAAAACAAGAGCCATCAGGTTTGAAATAAAGGATGAATGCTGGAAATGCTACTGCTCCCCCAAGTAACAGCACAATCTAAGCTGGAGAAAAATTATGCATATTCTATTGTACATTTTGCTGAAGAAATAGGTACTGGGTTTTATCAATATTTCCCAGGTAAATTTTATTTTTGTATTTTTCCAAGAGATAAAAACTTAGGACTGTAATGCTGTGTGAAAATCTCACATTACTTCATGGTCAAAGCATCCACCACAGTTTTGTGAATGCTTTTACCTCCCATCCTTTGGGGGAGCAAATGGAATCCCATCTTTTATATATGGCATCTTGGAGCAAAAAGGAAACAAGATACAGCACCTAGTCAACACAGCATAACAGCATCTAAGAAGTGAATACAAACATCAATAAATTGCATTTAAAGAATGGAGGAGATGTAACCAGGCTGTTTTCCAAATTAAAGGGGAATATTATTCCTCTACCAAGGACTGTAGGCAATGCAGAGCAGGCAGGTATGGCTTGCCACCAGGACCTGGGACAAGCCTGTCCAAAAGCATGCCAGCTTAAAACCAACAAACATTCCATCCTTTCCAGCAGTCCCACACATCACACAGCACAGCCACGACTGACACAAGCAACAGGCAAAGGCAAGCACCCAGTGTACCTACTTGTGCTTGATGTTCCACTCCTGAGCTGCTGGACCAGAGGGTTTAAGAGCTTTCCGGCTTTCAATTTGTTTTTGCTCGTTCTTCGGCGCCGGCTGCTTGGCGGGGCAGAGTGAAGGAAGCCCAGGTTGGGAGGAAGGGGTTTCCCCAGGCGAATATACAGTGCCTCTATCTCGTTCTTCTGCTGTGTCTGCAGCTCAGCAATCTCTTTCATATGCCTAAAAAAATAAAAGGACTGTGCTAGCAATGTATTTGATAAAGCACCATATCCTGACAGTGTAATTAATTGTAAAAGAAGAAAACAAAACAATTGTTGGTTATAAAACAATCAGCTGCTCATCCCTAAGCATGCAAAGCTACAACAAGCTATTTGTGGTGACTCCCCAGCCCTGGAAGGGGGAGTCTCTGACTCCAAGGCCAGGTTGGACAGAGCAACCTTACGTAATAGAAGGTGTCCCTGCCTATGGTAGCAGTTGGAATGATTTTTAAGGTCCTTTCCAACCCAAAACAGTCTGGGATTCTATGAGTTATTCTTCTAACTGGAACTGGCAGATAAGGCGATGCACAGCAGGAAGGTGGGGGAAGGTCCTGGCATTGCCTGATTTGCCCAGAACCAGTTTACTCCTTACAGTTCTGCTCATCCGAAGCTGAGCTGCTGCTCAGGTACAGTAACACAAGCTTCCCTTATATCACTTGCAACTCAACGTACTTTTCTCTCAGGTTCTGCAACTCTTTCTTCATATCAGCATCTTCAAACTCTGAGTCATTGTCACTGCTCATGTAGGACGACTGCGAGTGGAAGGACGTGATGTTGATCGTAGGAATCTTCGCACCTTGCCCATTGGGAGACTCTGGGCCAGGGGAGCCACCTTTGGCAGACCTCTGCAGAAACGCAGCCGCTTTTTTGATGAGGTCCGTGGCCGTGCTGCTGCTGGGCGGGGAGAGCTGTGCAGCTGCAGCAGGGGCCGGCTGCCGCGGGCAGGGCTCGTCGGCCGAGTCGCTCGAGGCCTGGTCACACAGCACGTCCACGGACGAGGCCGTCTGCACCCTGCGCACAGCGGCCTTCATGTCCGGGCTGGAGGGCAGCTCGTCCAGGTACACGTCTGGGGGCGCCGAGAACCTCAAGCAGTGCGGCGCTGCTAAAGTCAATTCGTCCTGCGTGCTGATGACTGAAAACCTGCCAATGGTTTTGGCTGGCGTGCCGCTCTCCTGAGCCTCAGCCTGTTTTCCATAGGGACCAGAGCCCGGAGAACCATCCCTGTGGAAGTTACTCATCGCCCCATCTGCCGTCACTCGCCGCGTTACGCTCTCTGCGTGTGCGGGCGAAGCCGTCCTCTCTGCCTCCTCACTCCTCTGGAAAGTCTCCATCTGTGGAGCTGTGCCTGATGATGAAGGTGCAACCTGGCAAAAATAACAGAGTTTAACAAAAGGAACTGTAACAATCAAGCAGAAAACCGCTCCTAGTTCTGATTACCTGAAGGAGGCCTTTTGCTGGAGCAGCAGGAGCTGAAGTGATGCTTGTGGCTGGACCTGATTTAAAGTTGGGAAAAAAATATTTATGTCTGAAATGCTTTAATGTAATAAAAAACAGTGTTTCATTGTGATAATGAAGGAATAATTTAAAACCCCGGTCTTTGTAAAACAGGATTGAAAATGCAGGAGGCAATAGCAATGGCAATATAAAATATCTCTAGGTTGGCAGATCTAGTGATTTGGGGAATTCAAATAATAACAGGTGTGTGGAATCTCATTACTCAGTTCAAAACTTTAAGGAGAAAAAGAGAAGAAGAATGAAATCTGCATGGTACATTAGGCCTGAACTATTCTGGTGTTCTTGGTGTCTCAGAGACACACAGGGCTGCTGGACGTGGCCGGGCTGCTGCCCCACTCCTGCCACTGACACCCACTGACACCAAGCAGGGATGGCTGGAGGAGCATTACCTGTTCCGCCTGCTGACCCACCTCTTGCCTCTGAGGGATGAGCACTCACACCAGTGACTTCTGGCTTGTTCAACTTTCAGTAAAAGGAAAAAAGAAACGCAATTTCAGTCTCACAAAGCAGAATGTGTTCTCCTTCCCTCACTTCCCCTTGCTGCCCTGGCACTACCAGAGAATATGGAACTATTTCACAGTGCCTGTGGAGGGACCTTCAAGTCTTGCCTCCAACTCCCCCATTTTTTTTCCTTCTTCCTTGAAAGAAATAAAGCAGTGGCAGCAGTGCAGTTAGAACTGCAGCCCAAGCTACTGAAACCCAGTATATTATATATACACACATGCTGGGGGCTTTGTTCTGGTTTGCTTTTCCAGCCAGACTGTACATTCCTCATCTGTACGTCTGTCCTCAGAAATTCTATGTCTCTTTCCTTACTGACACAGATTTTAATAGGATGAATTCCAATTAATCGAGAGACATAGCACCTTTCACAGAGAGAGAATTGGGTTTGCTGTAGAAAGTAATTTATCATTAGAAAACAACATTCACTCCAGTACAGCTGCTTTCCTGTACCACACAGCATCTTTTGGGCAGTTGACAGGAGTGCCTCCAGCTGATGCTACACAGAACAGGCTCAGCCTTGCTAGGGATGGAATTATCTCCAGAAATGCTACTTTTGAGTAAGATATAGAACCACAGAATGGTTTGGGTTGAAAAGGACTTCAAAGTTCATCCTATTCCCTCCCCTGCCATGTACAGGGACACTTTCCACTATCCCAGGTTGCTCCAAGCCCCATCCAACCTGGCCTTGGACACTGCTAGGAATGGGACAGCCACAGCTTCTCTGGCTAACCCGTGCCAGGGCCTAGAACAGACACTGATCTAGCACAATGTGCTGCAAATCTGATGATTTCATAAACTTGGAATTTTATCTGAAAAAACCTAACATGGGGGCTCAACTGAGTCAGAAGAACCACTGTCCCTGACTGCCTGCTACCTCTTTCCTTAGAGGCTTCCGTGTCAGTCTTGCTCTGCACCAAGCTCAGGAGAAGACAAAAGAAACTATTACAGGAAACTGAAGAAACTCATGCCCATGGAATGCCTGCCTTTGGCTGCAGCACGTGGACAAGGCAAAGGTACTTGAAATGTTTGCTTTATCCAAGTTGACTTCTAAGGCAGTAATTGTACCACTGCTATTCATTTATACTTAAAATTGAAGCAGAATCACCTTCATCAGAACTACAATGACTACACCACGCATGTATTTTACATTCTTAAACTACAAAGAAATGGACATATTTCTGCCTGCTTTGGATAGGACACAAGAGGAGATGAATTAAAGTATTATACCACTTCTAAACCCAAAGGGAAAGTCTGGCGTTCACTAATAAGCATTTCTGAAAAATGAATTGGGATGCATCTGACAAGAAAAATTTCAGTGGGCTTTCACACTGGAAAGCAGTCAGCACGCAGAGGTAACAAACCCTGGAACAGAGATATGAAATGTTTAGAGAAGCAAAAGATCTACACGTGGCCTACTGCAGGAGAGTGAGTCTTGAGCTCAGCTCTGGGGCCAGCCCTACAGGCGGGCTCTGGGGGCATGAAGGGCAGAGCCCCTGGGGGACTGAGCAGCGGTGGGCAAGGCAAGGCCCCTGAGGGCAGGGGGGCACAAGCGGCTGGGCAGCAGCTGTCACCTCCTGGCCGGTGTCCGGAGTGCTATAGCTCGGTTCTCTCCCATCCAGCGCTGGGGCAGGAGCTTGCTCTTCAGGAAAAGGGGGTAAGGTAAATTCACTGTCGCCCTGTTCGGGTGGCACAGAGGTGTCTGGCGTCCCTGCTGATGCCGAAGAAGTTGGAACATATTCCTGGTACAGCAAATTGCGCAGCTTCTCATCAAGGCTTTTAATCGTGTTGTCCACGAAGTCCACCCTGGGGGGGCCTTCGCCGTCGGACTCGGCGGTGCCGGGGGGGTTCTGCTGCTGGAGCAGGCCGACCCCTGCCCCGGCCATCCCCGCGCCGCTCTGCGCCACCGGCGGCTGCTGGGACGCGGCCACCGGCACCTGCGTGGGGCTCTGGAGCTGGGAGCCCGCCAGGGCCAGGCCGTCGGGGCCGGCGGCCGCGGGGAAGGGCTGGCTGCCGAAGGGCCCCGCGCCGGGCTGGCCGCCCTCCAGCAGGTGCGGCCCCTGCGGCGCCGGCTGCCGCTCCAGCACCGCGGCGTCCGCAGGCAGCGGCCCCAGAGCCGCCGGCGCGGCCGCGGGCGGCCCCACGCTGCAGCAGGCGATCTCCACGTCGGGCACGCAGGCCGGCTCGTCCGCCGGCGGCGGCAGGTGCGGGGCCGGGGCCTCGGGGGGCTCCTCCAGCCCCACGGCGCGGGGGGCCGGGGCCCCGGGGGAAGCCTGGGGCCCCGGGCGGCGGGGTTGGCCGGGGGGCCGGGGCCCCGGGGGAAGCCTGGGGCCCCGGGCGGCGGGGTTGGCCGGGGGGCCGGGGCCCCGGGCTGCGGGAACTCCGGCTGAGCCCCGCCGGCCACCGCGGGCTCCGCCATGCTCGGGGCAGGTGCCAGCGGGGCTGGCGCTGGGAACTCCGGCTGGCTTGCTACGCTGGCAGGAGCTGCCGCAGCAGGAGCCGGTGCCAGGGACAGGGCGGCTCCAAGGGGGCTGTCACTGACCCCTGTGTGCAGGGGAAGCTGCTGGCCAGCCCCGAGCCCAGGCGCCTCTGTCACCGCAGAGCTCACCGGCTGGTCATCTGACTGCTCCGCGTCTAGAGAGAACACAAGCAAAAGGTGAACCTTGAAAGGAAAGGAAATCACTGCCAAGCCCCCTGGTCAGCTGCAGGGACAACCCACTAGCAATTCCCACCAGCAAATAGCTGTTATGTACATCAAACGAGAATTTTCAGATTATTTCAGCAAAAATATTTCACTGAAAAGACACATAGTGATGGAGAATTTCAGCTACCCCACAGCATAAGGTATAGCTAAAATACTGACACTTTACTGAAACTCAGATAAAGATTCCCAATTTGGTTTAATGCCAGGAACATATGTAAATGCACGTGCACATCTAAATGCACAGCTTAACAAAACTCATCATTTTCTTCCTCTGACTAAATTAAGTGAAACCATCACAGCTGAGTGAGGTGAGGACAGAAGAGAGACAACACAGCAGCTCTGAGAAGACATTTTCTATAAAGTCTGGAGATACCTGGCCCGTCTGTCTGCTGGGCACTGGGAGGCACCGGGGGAGAAAACTCAGGGGCATCTGTAGTAGGGTTTTCAACCACTGGACATATAATAAACCACCTTTTTCCGGTATGCAAAACTAGGGATGAAAAGAAAATTACAAGTAAACACATGAATTTCCATTGTCTCCAGATTATGACTTTGTCTTAATTACACAGGATGGTTTGGGTTGGAAGAGACCTTAAAGGCCATCTAGTTCCAACTCCCTGTTATGAGCAGGGACACCTTCCACTAGAAACTCAACTCAAAGGCACTCTTACCATTTTGCTGATACACAGGCGTCTTCATTTGAGACTGACGCTTCTCCTGTTAAAGAGACAACACAAGAAATAGCTGGATCAGTGCAAGAGGACCGGCATCCCATTTGTATTGTAAGGCTTAACAGAGCAAAAGCATTATTTTTTTAGTTAAGAAACCTTTTTAGTTTTTTTAACACAAGATGCAAAAGTAATTTAAGTATCTGGCTGTTAAAAAAAAAGGAATCAAACTAGGAATCTGTATTCAGCGTTTCTTACCTCGCTTATTTCCAGCCTATCTGCATCTTGTTGGGGACTTATTCCCTGGTCAGAACTTCGCTCTCCTTCTGTATCCTCACTGAGCATATCCTCTGCTTTATCAATGATATCCTTCATTTGTTCAATAAAAGTCTCTTTTTCACTTTGCAAGATGAATTCATTCTCCACCTAGAAGGCCACATCAAAATAAAGGGGAAACCAGACATTTTTTTATTAATGCCTCATTCCACAGCTGCCAGGCAGCTCAGGCAACAAGCACACACGAGGAGCTGCCTGAAGCAACTGGGAGCACTGAGAGCCCGTGGGCAGCCACATCTCACCATGTAAGTGGCAATTTCCTCCGGCGCGTCACCATCCAAGTCAAACTTGAACGTCACCATTTTGTGGTTATGGGTTTCAAGCTGGCATTCCACCATCTTATCCCCTGTGTTACACACCTGCATGCAGAGATCAACAACCCTTATTCCTGGCAAAGCCAAAGGAAACCTAGAGTCACCCTCCAACAGGTTGTACTTGCATTTAGTATGGTCAGTTTGGGTCTGTTGGACTTCTCCTGGCGCGAACGAGCGCGTGTGGATTTCTTATGCTTCTTTGAAGACTTTCCTTCTTGCTTTCCACTTCCTGTTGCTCCTTCCAAGCTGTCACTCATCTCTTTGCCAGAAGCAACATCTGGACTCATGTAGCTTCACAAGAGAAAGGAAGAACAGCCCCAAAATAAAGGCAGAGTCACACACAATGGAGTCATGCATCACATGTAAGCTATAAGAGAGGCTGCAAAAAAGGGCACATTTGCACTTTATTTTGGCCCAAACTGAGTCAACTGGAAGATACTCAGTGAGCGAAGGGCACTACTCTACACCAGGCACATACTCTGGCTACAACACCTACCAAGAAATGATCTATGAATGTTTCTGGCAGCAACACAGCAGAAGTCCCATCACTCTGAATATATCCTTTAAGGGGCCCTGACAGTCCCCTCTCTGAACTGCACTAGTTCCTACTTTTCTAAGGTGAAGTTTTCTCAGCTCCTGTCTTTCTGCCCTCCCAGCAGAAGGTCAAACAGGTAAGGTTTGCTGTAGAGGGAGGAAAAGAGAAGATCCATACAGCTGTACATACACCAAGGCTAGGATGCTGCATCCAAACTAAGGAATTAAAAGAGCTGCAGGTGCCAGAATGGGCACACTGCACACAGAACACTGTCAGCTTCTCCCTAGACATGCTCCCAGTCCTTCTTCTGATCATGTCAGATAAAACAGCCTCCAAAATGCAAGCATTTCTTATGCCAAAAAAGTGATAATACCTTTCGCAACTCTGGGACAGAGCTTGGAGTTTGTCCTGTATTGCCTGCTCCTAAAATGCAAGAAAAAGTAATTTAAGCAAACACATTGTATTAGCAGATGAAAAACACCTTTAGGAAAGGGTTGGCATCAGTAACTCTAAAACCATTCTGTTTAACCAGTTCTTGGAACCTAGAAATAAAATAAATGCCCTATTTTATCCTTTCAACATCACTTCTGTCCAAGGCACCAACCACTTAGAGACACTAACCTGCCACTTCCCTTCCTCTGTCCACAGCAGATGAGATGGTGAAAGGAATAAAACAGTTCTCTCCACCATGGCAAAATCTGACTGAGGAACAATTCCACTGTCTTTTATTTTTGAATGTATCTGCTAATTTGGCTCATTGCTTTATATAGTTTCCTGAAAATATGCTCAGTATTTTCATTGTGTTTGGCTTAGTGGGAAAATTTGAGGAACTTACAAACAAAAGATGAAAATGCATCATTTAAGAACACCACCCTTGCATCATGTCCTCTTGTCCTCTACATGAATTTCCCCTAAAAGCTTCCCTCTTCACTGGCTGCAGCTCTGGGACAGACATCATAGCGTGATTTTCACATTGGGCAGACCCATTCTCACAGAATTTGTGGCAATGCTGCAGGCCCTGCTGTAACAAACTTACCATGTATGCACAAAGACACACACACCCGTACATGTATATAGCTGTGTATATACACTCACACCAGATACACCCATAAATATATATAATTTTATATATATTTATTAAAACATGTCTATGAAATCCTTCTATAGATGCAGAGCTAGAAACAAGTCCCTCGACTGCCATTGCTGCACGGAGGACTCAAGCAGTGCTGAGCTGGGGTTACAAGCTCAGAGGGGAAGTGGCCATCACTGGTTCTCTGCAGCTAACCAGCCAGCCCCACTCCTTGGCTGCAAACACCATACCTAAGCCATGCCAAGCTTAGGTGCAGTTTCAATAAAACTGCAACATCAATGAACAGTGAGAACACAGACATAATGTATCGATGTTCTGGTAAAGCACTCCACCAAGTGCCTTACAAAACCTCTTTTGCCTGACTGGTTCAGGTTGGTTTGGATGCAAGTGCTGCAACGTGCCTCAACACAACAGAAGAGATAAAAATGTCATGGCAGAGTAGAAACAAAATGTAGTGTCTTGATTATCTAGACAGGTATGAAACTTCTCTTACATCCAAGGAAACTTTAGCAATGTATGCCAGAAAACCAGCATGGAGAGGATGTGCATTGGTACTTGCTTCATTTCTTAAAGTGAATGAGAGAAAGGGGTCAACTTAGAGATGGATGTGAGAAAGAAATTAGCAAACCTGTGGTTAAATGTTCTGAGGTATGTGGGATGTGAAGGACAGACATGTGCCTCAGTGGCCATGAGTTTTTCAGGAGAACTTGTATCCCCCCTGTCACAGTGCCTAACAAGGAGATTTGTTCATATTTCCAGAATCTCTCATGGAACGGACTCTGCACTGAAGGCACCAGCACTGACCTTGCCATGAGTTGTGCATTCAGAAAAAAGACAGCTGGAGAAGGAATACCTTAAGTGATGGATATGCCTGAGCCAGCCCAGCTTTTCTGGGGAGTCTGCAGGTGAAGCACTGCAGACAGGCTCTACCATTCCTGCTACACTTAACCAACAGGATACACACATTCACCAGGAAACATCCTACATCACAGCAGGAACGCCGATGCAGTCAGGATTAAACTGCCATTGACAGACAGGAAAAATGGAGAACTAGAATTCATTTTTAGTGTTAGCACAGCCCTTCTGGAGCATCTTCTGGAGGCAGCATTGAGTTGTATGTCCAATGGAATTTCAGGCTGCACTGGGGTCAAGGCATGTGACAAGCCATGGAAACATGGGCAAAACCAAGAGATTAATTTTGAAAAGGTGAAATACATACTTTGGGAAGAAAGATAACTCAGAGCAGAGACTCAAGAGGAACCACTCTGAATGCAGAATCACAGCAGGACATTTCCATCCAGGAGTGGAGAAAAAATTAGACTTATTTCCTGAAATCAGGTAGAAATGCCAAAGCTTTTGTTTTGTTTTGTTAACAGGCAGCTGAAGAGAAAGAAATGTTCTGTGATGTTCTGTCAAGACTGAAGATTAAACAATTATGGGAGTGGAAAGAAAAGTCAAAATAGCAGACAAGGAGCTGACAATTCTGTAAGGAAAACAATAAAAAGCATCCTGCTTCTATGACCACAGAGAATTGGGAATGCCTATAAGTATCTTAAGAAACAAAAATCCCAGACATTAGGCAAAACAGGAGGATACAATGCTAAATGAAATGAGAATAGGGCTCAAACTGAAGAGGATGAAGGGGGCTTCCACAATACAAAGACTTAGATTGTGGAGTAGTTTCTTAAGGCACATGATGGTTGGTTGAACAAGTGCTTGAGACATTCAAAACAAGACTGGACAGAACATGGGTGAAACTCTACAGAACAACTTCTAACTCACCCACAGTGAGAATTTCTTGATTTCTATCTCTGTGCTTGTGCTCAGCTACGGACAAGGAGGTGCTTAGTCCTGCTGCCTCATTAATTCAGTGAGATATTTCCTGAGCTGCAACATGAGGTTTCATTTGGAATAGCCAATTATTTGCTGACTCAGAACTGCTGGCATCAAGGAGCAGCAGCTCAACACACCGAGGGGATAACCTCCCTTGTGCAATAAGCCCAGTTTCACACAGGAGTAACTAAGAAGATCAAACTTAAGGCCGGTGAGTTACTTCAGAGGAAGGGCTCTACCTCTTGAGATGTCTCTGTGCCCGCCGTGACAGGCAAGCAGGGAGCTGGGAGCTGCTGGCCCAGAGGCTGCGAAAGATCAGGCTGGAGCTGCAGCAGAGCAGAGGGCTGGAGAGGCAGGCCAGGCTCTATGGGGGCAGGCGGGGCAGCTGTGGCAAGGCTGCCGTGGGCCTGGGCAGCGCCTTCGGGAGCGACGCAGGGCGGCACCAGCTCCGGCTGCAGCTGCAACGGCGGTGACATGACCATGGAGGGCTGCACTGGCAGCACGGGCACCTGGGCTCCAGCTTCCAGGGCAAACTGACTGTGTCCAGGCATGGGCTGCAACACAACGAGAGCTGTTAGCACCTTCTCTGCGCCAAGGGCTCAACACGAACGTGACGGGGAGCAAAGCCACTGGTGTTCATGAAGAAAGGATTCAAACTTTGCAGTGCAACTGGGTTTGGATGCTCTCAGTAACATCTACAGAGATAAACTTCCAATGAAATAACCAAAAAAAGCGCTAAGGATTCCTTCTGTACAATTATGACAAGGTGCATTGATCAGGTACTAGTTTATTAGTAGGGACAAAACCAGATTTTGCTAAGAAAGGAAAAGTTACAGAATTCCAGAATGGTTTGTGATAGACGGAATCTCAAAGCTCTTCTCATTCCACCCCCTACCTTCCACTATCCCAGGCTGCTCCAAGCCCCAACCTGGCATTGGACACTGCCAGGGATCCAGGGGCAGCCACAGCTCCTCTTCCGGGGCCTCCCCACTCTCACAGCCAACAATTCCTTCCCCATACCCCATCTGTCCCTGCCCTCTGGCACTGGGAGCCATTCCCTGTGTCCTGTCCCTCCATCCCTTGTCCCCAGTCCCTCTCCAGCTCTCCTGGAGCCCCTTCAGGCCCTGCCAGGGGCTCTGAGCTCTCCCTGGAGCTGCTCCTGTTCAGGTGAGCACCCCCAACTGTCCCAGCCTGGCTCAGAGCAGAGGTGCTCCAGCCATCAGAGCATCTCCATGGCCTCCTCTGCACTTGCTTTTAAGATCTTAGGTGATGAATTCATTCTCCTGAATACCTTGCTCTGCTTTCAACAGTTCCACACTGTCCATGCAGAGAAAAATACATTCTACCCATAACCTAACTTAGGATATTTTAAGAAATCTGCCAAATATATAGAACCAGGACCTGGCACAAATGACACAATTAACTCTTTCACTGAATATACACCAGTGTCCTACTTCAGTTTAGTGCAGTTTACACACTGAAGTCTCAACTTAACCCTTGATGTGCCAAGCCCCAAGACCCCAATCCTACCAACACATTCGTGTGGACAGAGGGAGTTTCACTTTTCTCAGTGGATTTCTCCAGTGCATTAAAATAACTCAAGTGCGTAAGCACTTGGTGGGAACCAGATCCAGGCAACAGGATGCCAGCTACCTTAGAGACCGGGTTGTTATTCTGCATAACAGTCCTTTTGGGTTGTACATTTAAAATCAGAATGTTCTCCTTTTAGGTACATCATGTATTTTTCCAGGGGGACTGCGCTTGTGGAAAGAGGAAAAAGGAAAGAAAAAAGCATATGGAATAAAAAAAGACTTTTAGTACTAGGTAAAAGTGTGCCCAATTTTTACTTTTTTTGAAGTATCATTACATAAAGACTTAAGGCTATTGGAAAATACATTAAAAAAAATAAGACTCAGATGAGAACTAGGCCACATGATTTCATTGCTGCGTGCTCTCAGCAGGTTCTGGGTATGGCTGAAACTATTATTCCAGGTTTCAATGTAGATAAAAGTAAAGACAGGATGTGCTTCATAACACCTCAGAGTTACATGGCTGCCCAAGGAGGGGGTTGTTAGACTGACAAGTGTGGTGTAATGCCACAGAAGGGTGGTTCAATTTTAAATCTTATATAACTAGAATAATTCACAAAATATTTCAATGTCAAATCACAGAATCACAGAATATTCTGACTTGCAAGGCACCCACAAGGATCATCAAGTGCAGTTCTTAAGTGAATGTCCATATAGATGTACCCAGCCAAAACAAAACTCAGAGGTGCTAAACATCAATTGTGAAAGCAGCATGGCATTATATACAGAAATACCTCTCCAATAGAAGTCTTCAAATCAAAACAATATTTTTAAAAATATTTCTCTGCACATTGTAATAGCAATTTTTTAACCTAAATTCTTCCATATGCAATTCTCCTACACGTATTTGATAGCTAATGACTTTATCAGGATGGTTTGGGAACATCAGCTCTCCAGTTCTGGTATTTGCCATGCTCACTGTGTCCAGTGTGCTTGATTCCATTCCCTCTAAAGCCATTGGGAACACTGGGTAACACTCCCAAACTCCATGCTGCTGACATTCTCAACAACAGTAATCCTGTACGAAATATAAGGCTGAAGAGAGAAATTTAAAAACTATGTACTGCTCTGAAGATGCCATGACAGGTTGGGATGGGATATTACAAATTTCAATTAGGGTGTTATGGTGAAGGGATGTGGCAGAATACAGATTTTCCAAATGCCTTATTAACAGGTTGAGTGTCCTCTCCTGCTCTGGTCACACTGTTTCATGCTGACATATCTCAGATGTGGCAAGAGAAGTATTTACAGACTCTGTCAGTCCTGAGGCAGTTTCCGTGTAAATACTGCTTGAGCTCGTTTATGCTTTGTTTTTTTCAAGGGGGAAAGGGTCTGCAGCTAGAATCCATCCCTGCCCTGCAGGTCTGACAGTGCTTTTCCACAGAGCTTTCCAGAGTCCTTACCTGAGGGCCACTTCCCTTTGCTGTTTTAAATATATTCTAGACCAAAACAACTCCGCTGCTCCTGCCAGCTCCCCTGTATTTGCTGTGTGCACCCAGAAACCCCTGCATCCTACATGGACCAGCTACAGGCACTGGCAAGGCTTGGTACGCCCTCCTGACCTGGAGAACCATGACTCACACTTCCCAAGATCTGAGAGCAAGAAGGAAGAGGAAATTCAGAAAGCGCTCTGCTCATTTACTGTCAAAGCCAGTTGTATTTTGCCCTATACCCTTGATAACCCCTGTCCCTGGCTGAGGATATCACCTGCTACCCACAGCTCACAGCTTCAGCCACCACCTCCCGAACGGAGAGCAAGAAGAACAAAACCTTTTGAGAACAAGGATTAACATTGGCGAGGAGCAGAACGCCGGGACGGGCAGTGCCCCGGAGTGCACTGCGGCGGATTTACCTGGTGAGCGGGCTCGGGAGGGTGGACGACGCCGGGCTGCAGGG